TATGTTCTTGGTTAAGTACAAGGTCTACATTATTTTTGCAAACCCACTTGAGTAGGTATTAAATCTCTCTTTTTTTGTAGCATAATGATCATGAGATTAAATTATCCCAAAAGAGTCCTTCTGATCTTAATTCCAAGAATAACATTAGCAAGACCCATTTCTTCCATATCAAACTGACCATTGAGCATGTTCTTTGTTTGTTAGATGATGTTGACTGCCTCTTTCCAAAAGGATGCGTTAAGTGTAGACATGGCTTATGTGAAAGACATTAGCTCATGCTCAGCGAAAAATACCATCATGAAATCTTCACCATAATACTTTTCCGTACGAGCTTTGTTGCTTCGTCTAGGTTTGTCTTCAACATTTTCTGCTTCATTTACAGAAGGTCCAAAAGTATTTTTCATAAACAAAGGTTATCACGTCTTTTCTACACAAGTGCGTTTAGGATAGTGATTATCCTAACAAAAAAAAAATTTCTTCAAAGACTGACACATTCCTTGATTCCAGGATAGGATTGACATGTATGTATAGTATATCTGATTTAAATGTAAATACACTTTATGAAGATAAGAAGTTGACTGAAATGAAAAGGCTAAGAACTTGGCTACCTAGCAGAGTTGACAGGGGTAGATAGCATCTCCAATGTAAAACTTCGTTTTTTCCTCCAAAATGGAGTAAAAGAGAATATAGAGTAAAAATGCTCTAACTCCACTCTATTTTCCACTCCATAATGGAGTGATGAACAAACAAAAAACAGATTACTCCATTTATGGAGTAAACTCTATTATGGAGTGGGAAATGGAGTAGGGTTGGAGTGTTTTTTACTCCATATTCCCCTTTACTCCATTTTAGAGTAAAAAATGGAGTTGGGTTGGAGATGCCTTTAAATGACAAACATGATCCCAATTTGCATTAGTATAAAACACATTTTGTGCTCAAAATTTTGTACTAATCAAACAAAATCAACAAGTTAAGTTTAGGCTTTTTTTTTTCTTGACCTAATTTTGTTGTAGTGGTTAGTCTTATGTAGGTCTATTACAAAATGTTTTAAAGAATATAATAATGTAGTTGAAGTTAATTAAACAACCATTGTAGGGTTTATTAGATTAGCTGAAATTTCTAAGATTGATTACAAATACCCTCAAAAACTACCAACGAGTAGCAGTAAAAAAGTAAAAATCATCGGTAGAGGGCAAAGAGGCCATGATTGGTTGTGAAAAGTAAGACATATCTAAAGGATTCATCGGAAATTCAGTGACATTTCGATGATGAAGTTCAGTGACTGCAGCCTCTCGCTTAGCTCAAGAAGCTGAGCCCTTAGAACGTAGTTCTGATACTTGATATCCATGTAAGCCTTGGAAAACACAGCAATCTGGTTTGAAATACTGGAGTTGTCGTGCACCAGAACACTCTCTCTAGATATCTCCACTGGTTCTTGAGTGGATCCTAGGATGTGCATACGTTGCCCTCCTTGAGAATAAATATCTCTTCTTGTTCCTCGAAATGGAATGACCACATGATTGACTTGGAGTTGAATCTCTTTCTCGACCTCCTTGACGATTATCCTAACAAATTTACTTTCATCACTGCCAAAAATGAGGTAGCAAAATAAACATTTGTTAGACACGCTCATAATAAACAAACAAAATACATAATCAATATCAGTGAAGAGGTTTTTGTTTTGGCTTTTAAGAATACTTTTTACCTTCTCTTGTCGAAGGCCAAGCCTGCTTTGGAAGAAACCAATGATAATGCCTCCTTCCACCTATCTGTTCTAGGTTTATCACACCGATATTCCCACTCTCTATCCCTGAACTGATCACCAAATGCTCCCCTGAGTTGTTTCACGGTTACTGGTTCCACATTGAAAAATATGGGAATAACCTGTTGAAAAAAAAAAAAAAATCAGTAAAAATTTAACGTAAGAAAAAACATGTTTCTATTTGCACTTGAGACGCAAGCAAACGAACCCTGAGCAGGCCTTGATCTGCACGTTTCTTGATCTTCAAGAGTTCGTCTAAGCACCATATCGATTCCGTGTATCTACAGGAGAATATGACCAAAGCTATGGTCGACTCCTCAATCCTAGCAAAGAGATTGTCGAGATCCTCACCTTTCCTCTCGTGACTGTCTATGAAAACGTTGATCCCATGTCTCTGCAGAGCTTCCACGAGATGGCTTACGAAACTGCAACGCAGCTCCTCTCCCCGGAAATTGACAAACACCTGATGTTGCAGCGGTGGCTCCAGATGGCGACTGTGGACTTCCATTGAAGAGAGAGGTCGTTGTCACTTGTATAACTAACTAGTCAACCGTTGGTGAGGCACATGTGCTAAATAAAATCTAAAGATGGGTACAAAATGAGTCCCAGGTGGTCTACTTTTATAGGTTGACATCCCAAAGTAGACTATCGATAGTTTATTTACCACCAGGTGGTATAAATGCCTCGCATATAAATGTCTTCTTTATCAAATTTAGGTTGGAGGATAGAGACCTTTGCATTCAATTATGGCTATTGCATGCAACACCTACCCACAACGTATTGGTCATATTGATCTTAAGGGTTTCTTGTTAACTTTAGCACATAATCAGAAGTCCAACCCCTAAGAGGAAGCTATCGTGTATTCAGGGCTTCTATCGCTACGATGCAACAAAGCGCAGTGACAATGTTGATCGAATACTGATTAATTGACTTTCGCGTTTTAATTATCTTTTCCGTTATCATAGAAATGGATCTGGATCGCTGGCCTAGCCCGTAAAGAACTGTCGCGGAACGGTATTGAAATGAGATTTTCTAGACCCGCAAATTTGTGAACCTCGTGGGATGGGTCTTTGTGGGACTGGGTCTTTTGCGGGATGAACCGAAATGGGTCCCGTGGGGATTACAAGGACCCGCATTTTTTTCTTTCTTTTTTGTTTTATCTTAAAAAACGAGAGAATGAGTGAGAAGAAAACGATTCACGTGACTTCCCCTGAGAAAACGTAAGGAGTTTGGGCGATAATGATGATTCGAGCTTTGGGGCTAATGATTCAAGCTCCAGTAATGACAACTATAGCTCCGGCGATGACAATTCGAGCTTTAGTAGTGTTTTGATTTGGTTTCTCTTTTTATTTAATTTAGGATTGACATTTTTGATTTGGTGTTTCATTTTATTTAATTTTTAGATTCAGCAAACTAAAACCTTGGTTTCTAACATATGAGTTATAAGATAATGAAAAATATCTTTTGCAACCTCTAAAATTGAGTATACAAACTCTCTAATTCTCGTTAAATTTATACTAATACCACTAATTACAAAGTTTAAGCAGTTAAAATAGAATCCTCACCTGCTCTTATACATGTGATATCCCATCGTGCACGAAACAGAATCCAAAGCTTCGTTCCAGATCTTGACCTTCTCAGGCTCAAAATCACGCATACCTGGATTCTCCAAATTAAGTCCTGAGCTTCCTTCGAGCTTGTAGAAGATCGGAATCACGGTGAGCTTGCCTTGTTCCATCCGTTCCTTGATCTTCACAAGCTCCTCTAAGCACCATCTCGATTCGGTGTACCTGCTCGAGAACACTACGATCACGATTCTCGACTTCTCGATCCTCTCTTGTGTGAGATCTTCTTATTCATCACCAGTCGGCTCCTCATCAGCGTAGGCGTTGACTTCGATGCTGTTCAAGGCCTCCTCGATTCGGTGGACCCTGCAGAGCAAGTCGGCTCTGTGGGAGTTGATGAATACGGGTGGGAGTTTGTAATTGGTTGGGTTTTCCATGGTTGCATTTGGTTGAAAAGAGTGGGAGTGTTGGGGGAAATGGTGTGTATGAGAAGAAGGGTTGAGAGTTGAAGCAAGTGAACATCTTCGTCAACGTTTCGCAATTATTTTTAAATGACTGCCATGCGTGAATCGCCATAGTTTTATATTGTTTTTTCTTTGACTTCTTGATACACTTCCTCATTTTTAGCTTCTACTGATAAATAATATTAGAAAACTTTTTTTTTTTTTGACAAAAATAATAGAAAACTTTTTTTTTTTTTTAGAAAACTTTTTTTTTTCTGAACACCAACTATTGTAAGAGCTTATTAGCGAAGTAGACAAATCTGGGAGATATATTATAGCCATTGACCCAATTAAAAAATTTTCTCTTGCTATAGGCCCCAATTCCCCTTTATTTTTTGGCTTCCTCGTAGAAGATATGTTTCGAGATTTAGAAAAAAAAACAAAAATAAACCAATCATTAACCGAACCAAGCATTATACCAAACGTAACCGATTTTTATCATCATTCGAAATTAACTAAACCAACCATTCAGTTTAACCGAAAATGATTGAGATTCCATCCCAATATACAAACAAACCTAATTTATTAAACTCAAAACCAATAATAACCTCTAATAAATAAAGTTAACTAAAAAACGGCTTAGTTCGATTTGTGAAAGTCGCATGCTCACTTCGAACCCATAGGTGCTGGGCAGAAAAATCAAACCGTATTAGCCGAACCAAACAGTTTTTGATTCGGCACAAACCGATAAGAAAATTAAATAATACAAAGAGTTGGGTGTTGGGTTAACCGACAAAGAGTTGGGGACGCAGGGTTTTAAGGCTATTTCTCCGTCTCTGACACCAATCGAAGTCGACCCTGTTACCAATTGCGACGCTGTGGATTAGGTTTTGTCTCTATTGTTTACGAAAACAAGTATGTTTCGATTCTCTTTGGTCATTACCACTGTGAAAAAGTACAATTGTGTCTATGCCTTGTAATGATGATGACGATGCAAGTTAAATGAGATGGAAACTAATAATTTTGTTTTTATGTAACACTTTGAGGAAAGCTTTGAGTCACCATTATATATTTAAAAAAAACACACACTACTCTTAGTCTGGCTTACAATATTTTGCTTATTCTAGTTATGGTGTCTACGTTACGTTTTGTTCATAGATTTGATGGTTAATTATTTTTCTCCATGGATTTTTTTCAGATAACTGACAGTTGATTTCAAGAGAAAGAGTGATGGGATTCGATCACCAAGATCTAGAGTATGTTTCTTTGTGGATTTTTTTTTTTCGTTTATGTTATATACATTATTCTAAGGTACTCTTTGTATCGAAACAGCTTGACCAACGATGATCATTACGTCGACAAGGCAAAGCTTTCAGCTCCTATTAAGTCTACAGCTGATAAGTTCCAGCTCGTTCCTGAGTTCTTGAAGGTACACTGAACACAGCATAAACATTCGTTTATGCTTTTATACGACCTGGTGTGTCTGCAATTCTTAGAGTTTTTGTTTTCTATTAGGTAAGAGGACTTGTGAAGCAACACCTGGATTCATTCAATTACTTCATCAATGTCGGGATCAAAAAGATTGTTCGTGCAAATGCTCGTATCCAATCCACTCTGGACCCAAAGATTTACCTAAAGTATGACCTTCTTTCTAATCTCAGTCTTATTTGTATTTGATAGTTTGTTATCTTGTTTCACGGAAAGAAAAAAGCAGAACGCTTGGTGGCTTTTCAGTCCTTCTCTAAGTCTATCCTACAAGATTGTGCTTAAAAAAATTAAACTTTTTGGAGCTCTTTTTTGGTGCAGGTTCAGGGATGTCAGAGTTGGTGAACCCTGTATTATAAACATTGGTATGGTCGAGAAAACCAANTATTTGATAGTTTGTTATCTTGTTTCACGGAAAGAAAAAAGCAGAACGCTTGGTGGCTTTTCAGTCCTTCTCTAAGTCTATCCTACAAGATTGTGCTTAAAAAAATTAAACTTTTTGGAGCTCTTTTTTGGTGCAGGTTCAGGGATGTCAGAGTTGGTGAACCCTGTATTATAAACATTGGTATGGTCGAGAAAACCAATCCACACATGTGCCGATTAGCAGACATGACGTAATGAGTCTTTCTATTTGCATACATCATGTCTTTATTGTTCCCTGTTTGGGAATATGTATCATTCTTAGTCTTCTTGGCTGTTTTAAATGCATTTTAACATCTTGTTTTACATTTCAGATATGCTGCTCCAATCTATGTCGATATTGAATATGTTCATGGAAGTCATGGACAGACGACAATAAGTGCAAAGGTAAGAAATGAAAAAGTAAATGTATTTATACTACGTAATGCTGCGTATCAACAAAACTCAGTCTCAAAATAATGATCCTTTCTTTCAGGATAATTTTATTATCGGAAGGATGCCTATTATGTTGCGGAGTTGCCGCTGTGTATTACATGGAAAAGATGAAGAGGAGCTTGCAAGATTGGGTTTGTATTTCACACTTATTTCAAGCGTTGCTTATTTTTGTTCATCACATTTATTGTATTCCGTTTTGGATTCAAGGTGAGTGCCCACTTGATCCTGGAGGATATTTTGTCATCAAAGGAACTGAGAAGGTAATCTTATGGAGTCTATATATATTGGCGACCTGTCTGCACTTTGACTTTTGGATATCGATTGTGTTTTATATATATCTTTTTAGTTCATACTCGATTGTATGTTTATTTAGCCGTTCAGCACTGTGCTTGTTCTAATTGGCGTTCATATTTCTCTATGTGAATGAACTCATCCCATTTTTTTNAAAGGAACTGAGAAGGTAATCTTATGGAGTCTATATATATTGGCGACCTGTCTGCACTTTGACTTTTGGATATCGATTGTGTTTTATATATATCTTTTTAGTTCATACTCGATTGTATGTTTATTTAGCCGTTCAGCACTGTGCTTGTTCTAATTGGCGTTCATATTTCTCTATGTGAATGAACTCATCCCATTTTTTTCATGGAATCCTTTCTTTTTCTTCCGTGACCTGAAAGCCTGTATTGATTGTGTTGCTGTTTGGTTGCTATTCATTTCAGGTCTTGTTGATACAAGAACAACTTTCAAAGAACAGAATCATTATTGATTGTGATAAAAAGGGGAAGTAAGTGATCTCTTCGTTATTTCAGTCCTTTTAGTATTGATAGCAAGCATCCCCATAAGTATTATACTGTGAAGCCAAATAATTTTTTCATACTTCAGCAATTTTCTATTATTTACCAACATTCACATACAAATTTTACTGTTTGCTGATTCTCTCCTTTACTACTTGTTGCCCAGCATTAATGCATCTGTCACAAGCAGCACTGAAATGACGAAAAGCAAAACAGTTATTCAGATGGATAAGGAGAAGATATATTTATTTCTACATCAATTTGTAAAAAAGGTGAAGATCACGTCCTTCTTTTTAATTGTAAATTTTCCAGGGTTGGACTTGATTCGCTGAACATGTTATTTTGTCACAGATTCCAATTATAATCGTCCTAAAAGCTATGGGAATGGAGAGTGACCAAGAGATCGTACAAATGGTTGGAAGGGATCCCCGTTTTAGCGCATCACTACTACCTTCTATGGAGGCAAGTACTATACCCACTTGCTTTTTCTTCCATGTCATTTTGTTCAATATGTGGTTCTGATGAGCCTTGATCTGTGAAGCGTCATATTTATCCATCAAAGGCTTATCTGATTTCAGGAGTGTATTAGTGAAGGCGTGTCTACACGACAACAAGCACTAGACTATCTTGAGGCAAAGGTGCAGTGTTTAATTCCTCTCAGAGAGTTATTTGAAAGTTTTCATGTTCAAAGATTCACATGTCTACTTAAAAAGTTACCTAGAAAACATAATAGATATTACTGCCTTGTCGAAAAAGAGCTCTTTCTAGTTTGAAAAGGGCCATAGCTCGTCTCTGCTTTTACTGACAAGAAGTCTGCAGACTTTATGTTGTTATAGTTAGTTGCATCCACCTCATTTTCTGTTGTTACTGAGAGAAATAAACACCCCGCTGAAAAAAAAATAGACTATCAGGTTATGTTAGTTTTACAGTAGTTTCTGATTTTTGTCAATTTGCGGCAAGATTGACATATTCTTTTATTTATTAATTTCTGTAGGTGAAGAAATCATCGTATGGACCTCCTGAAAAGGTTTTAAATTCTTTACTCCGCTACTAAACTCTCTTGTCCAACTTCAACCAAGTTGGTCCTATAAAATTTGAATATGAAAACTTTCTTGCTAAGTAAAAATTCTCACATTGTATATTTACATGATCTGCTAGGATGGCAAAGCTCTATACATTCTCAGAGCTTTATTGCTTGCACACGTACCTGTAAGTATTTCAACTTATTTTGGTTCTTAATATTTTTGTATTTTGCTTACTGATTTGCTATAATAATCCCCTTAAGATGCGTGACAACAATTATCGCCAAAAATGTTTCTATGTTGGGGTGATGTTGAGACGTATGATTGAAGCAATGTTAAACAAGGATGCTATGGATGACAAGGTAATATCATAACCTTATATCTGGAAAAGTGAATATTTTTGAATTTTGGTTATTTACTTTTATTATTAACGCTGTAGGACATGTTAGATTACCTAAATCTGGCTAGTTTAAAACAGAGAGGTGCATACTGAATAGCTTACAAAATGTTTTGACAGTCTCTTAGCAGAGCCTTGATCATGATGGCTAACTTGTTAGTCTACGATCTGAGATTAAATTAAGGATGATCTAGAGACAAGTCGAATTATAACCCGACAATTCATATTGCTTGTATATATGTTCTCAAATGTGTCTTCTTGTAGGATTATGTTGGTAACAAGCGGTTGGAGTTATCTGGACAACTGATATCCCTTCTCTTTGAGGTATCACTGGAACCATCACCATAGGCAGTATCTGCTCTTCCTTTTCTATTGTAAGGTTATGTGTTCTCTAGTCCTTACCTATGATTTTTCTCCTTAACGCTGCTACAGGATTTGTTCAAAACAATGACCACTGAGGCCATTAAAAAAGTAGATGGTATCCTTCAAAAACCTACCCGGGCAAGCCGTTTTGATTTTTCACAAGTAAGTGTACATTTATACTGCCCTGCTAGTTCAGGTCTTGCTTTAGCTATGAACCGGTCTTCTTTCATAGTTCTGAAGTAAGTAAAATGTATTGCTGTTTGCAGTAGGCTCATAAGGGTTGTTAGCTAGGTGTTAATGCTATTGTGTCGACAATTGCTCTATAAACTTAGATTTCCCTTAGTTATTCCGCTACTATTTGAAGTGCTACGGTTAGGATATATGGTTTATGGCCGTGGAAAAACATGGATGGAATTTATTTTCAGAAATAGTTACTTTAGTGAAAAGAACTGCTAGTACAACTTTAATTTTCTTTGTGATGTGCTTGTAGTGTCTTACTGGAGAGAAGAATCATAATATTTCTTTTGGTCTAGAAAGAACCCTTTCAACGGGAAACTTCGATATTAAAAGGTTCAGAATGCATAGGAAAGGCATGACACAGGTCAGTCTCACTCTTTATACACATCGGTGTGTATGTCTCTAGCATCATTCATGCTACAGTGTTCTTGAAGAAATCTTTTGATATAGGTTTTAACAAGGTTATCTTTCATTGGGAGCATGGGGTTTATCACGAAAATTTCGCCTCAATTCGAAAAGTCTAGAAAAGTTAGTGGGCCTAGATCTTTGCAACCGAGCCAGGTAATGATGCTGTCTTTATAAGCGTAATTCTGTGATGAGAATTACTGCTTCTCTATGAATTTTCATTTAGTCTGATCTTTTGCATTGTAATTTGCTCTATAAGTGGGGCATGCTCTGCCCATGTGATACCCCAGAAGGCGAAGCTTGTGGTCTTGTCAAGAACTTGGCGTTAATGACTCATGTGACAACGGATATAGAGGAAGGCCCGTTGGTTGCTATGGTATGTGGTTGCTATTTTATCAACTTTAAGTCAATTTACTCACATTAGTCGCCTTTGCTATGGCTTTGAGAAGGATACCTCCGGAATCACAATACCTTCTCCTCGGCTGGCCATCTGATTTTGAATCCGTATGTTCTAACTGATTTTCCGGAAACAGTGCTACAATTTGGGTGTCACAGATCTGGAAGTATTATCAGCAGAGGAGCTGCATACTCCAGACTCATTTTTGGTCATATTCAATGGGCTTATAATTGGCAAACATAGAAGGCCACAGGTACCTTTTTTACAAATACACGGATCTGCGATGAGCATAATACACATCTTTGCACCTCTTCATAGTTTCTATTGTTTCAGTACTTCGCCAATTCTCTTAGAAGGCTGCGTAGAGCTGGGAAAATTGGGGAGTTCGTCAGTGTGTTCATAAATGAAAAGCAGGTATTTCCTCCTGTTTTCTTTTTTTTCTTTCCTATATTGGTAATCCAAGTATTTCCACATGCACGTTATAGCTTGTGTCCATACGGCTGTGCTCGTGTTTATGCATTATTTAAGCTTTATATTATTGGTAGTATGTATTGTTAATTTTTGGAATTAAGATTAAGATTTCTGAACTAAATTAGATTGAGGAAGCTACAGAAATTTATTTGTTGAGTCTCCAGCAGCGTCCTTTGAGTGATTTTCAGAGTAGAAATACAGCTGAGGAGTGATGATAATTAGAATACTACAAACGCATACATTGTTGTTAATAAGGAAACGATTATTCCTTAAATCTCTACCAAGGTTTTCTCTTGAATACACAAATGTTAAGTGGGACTGACTTGATGAATTTTCTTTTATCAGCATTGTGTTTACGTTGCTTCTGATGGTGGGCGGGTGTGTCGTCCACTTGTTATAGCCGATAATGGCGACTCAAGAGTTAAACAACACCACATGAAGGAACTACAGGTAGATGAGTTTTACGCTCTCAGATTCATGCATACTTGTCTTATAGTGGTTATAAGTTAAAGAAATTGGTTGACTGGTTTGTATTTCCTTGAAGGATGGTGTTCGCACTTTTGACGACTTTATTCGTGAAGGTTTGATCGAGTATCTCGATGTCAATGAGGAAAACAATGCATTGGTTCGTGCCTATTTCCGTTTTCTAGATGTAATTTATACTATTGCCCCATTGGCAGTTAAAAAATTATCACTGTTCCTTTCCTTGTTTTTAGATTGCTTTATACGAAGGTGACCCCAAGGAAATGAAAGGCATAACCCACATTGAAATTGAACCTTTCACCATCTTAGGTGTTGTTGCTGGGCTTATCCCTTACCCTCACCATAATCAGTCACCTAGAAACACGTATCAGGTTTGTGTTTCTAAACATTCTGGCATAAGATGCTGCAGTTTCTGTTGGTTTCCATCGCGTTAATAGTCCTGTTGCGTGCAGTGTGCTATGGGAAAACAAGCTATGGGAAATATTGCTTACAACCAGGCAAGTCCACTTATACTCTCCATATCATTTCTTTGAGGCAAAGCTTGGGGTCCATTCAGGTTGTTATGCGAAGTCCAATCACTAGCCTGTGTCTTCTCCATTGCACCATGTTCTACTATGTATTACTTTCTCTCAGGCAGTGACTTTGCCTTTTTCAATCTGTGTATATAGTTAAACCGGATGGACTCATTACTTTACCTATTGGTGTATCCTCAACGGCCTCTGTTGACAACAAGGACCATTGAATTGGTAAGTGTCTTCGCTCTAATAGGAACGGATTAATAATTTGGTATTAATAAAAATTATGCTTGTTAACAGGTTGGATACGATAAACTTGGAGCAGGTCAAAATGCAACAGTTGCTGTTATGAGTAATACTGGATACGACATTGAGGATGCAATAGTGATGAACAAATCTTCCTTGGATCGTGGTTTTTTCCGCTGCATTGTTATGAAAAAGTATGTTGGATTTCTCTTTGAGGCAAAAGTCTGTTCCTTTTAGATATCGTCTCTTACACTAACTATTATTGCTTCTCGAATTGTGAAACAGACTTGTCGCTACTTGCCAGAAGTATGCTAACGATGCAGCAGACAGGATACTGAGGCCAGAAAGAAAAGGTGCGGACGCGGAAAAGATGCAGGTAATACATATTTTCTGCATGTGTCCTCAATTTTAGCTCTATAGCCGACATATCCCAGACTTGTCAAGCCAAATTCAAAGATTCTGGCATTTTGAGAATTAGTTTTGTTGCAATTGCTCATTCTTAACGGATATTTTAGATGCTGTGGAAATAGTCCTATGTAATCCATTGAGCACATAGTACATATCCCCATTTCTGATTGGAGGGAGCAAGCACACTATTATTGTTGCTTTTTTAAATTGTTCCTTTTTTCTGTCTCAAAATTTTGAGTGCATAGAAGTTATGACACTACTGGCATAAATCTACAAGATGTTCTTATAACATTCGTATTCCGTGCTTTCCCTCTGCTAAAACATTTTGGATATGTTTTCATGGTGACTTTTGTTTTTTTCTTTTAGATACTGGATGATGATGGAATTGCATCTCCAGGGGAAATTATTAGACCTAATGATGTCTATATAAATAAGCAAATCCCTGTGGACACAAGAAATAACATTACATCTCAGCAATCGGATAGGTATCCCACTAACCTTTCCCCATATATATGATCATGATTGTTTCTTATAACGCTATAGCCAAGCTGACAATATGTTGTGCAATTTTCAGTCAATATCGTCCGGCCAGGGAGTATTTCAAAGGTCCTGACGGGGAAACGCAAGTGGTCGGTAGAGTTGCTCTATGTTCTGACAAGAACAGTAATTTATGCATAAAATATAACATCCGGCATACTCGTCGGCCAGAGGTGAGAAATTTCATGTTCAGTCTGTTTTCTTTCTACCCCTAAACGGCTAGGCGTTATGTTCTACACTATTAATCGAGTCCTTGTGTGCTCTAATTTAGCTTGGAGACAAGTTCAGCAGTAGGCATGGGCAGAAAGGTGTGTGTGGTACAATCGTCCAGCAGGAAGATTTTCCATTTTCTGAGCGTGGAATTTGCCCTGATTTGATCATGAATCCTCATGGGTTTCCAAGGTTAATAAATATTTTTCATAGCCAATTTTCGTGGTGACAAAAGTGCAGTGGTTCTATCAGTTAGAACAAATTCGTTTTCTATTTTTCCCGTCTAGTAACGTTTATGTTACTTACGATTTGTATTATAACTGGTGGATTATTAATATTGTTCTTGTCACAGTCGTATGACAGTAGGTAAGATGATAGAGCTCCTTGGAAGTAAGGCTGGGGTGTCTTCAGGTAGATTTCATTATGGTAGTGCTTTTGGAGAAGAAAGTGGTCATGCTGACAAGGTTGAAGAGATTAGGTACAGTTTCTTATCTCTCTTAAACATGAGGATTCTTCTAGTACGTTGAAACTTCTGTGTTGGCATTTAATGTCTTCTTATGTTCCACCATTTCAGTAATACCCTTGTGAAGCATGGATTTTCCTATAGTGGGAAGGACATGTTATACTCAGGTACTGCTTTATGATTCTTCACATCATTTCAGAAAGTCCAATAATATGTTTATACCCATCCTAGTGTTGGTTATTATATTCTTTGAATAGAAAAAGTCGTTTAGATTCACTGATAATGAACAAAGACAAATGAGATCCAAACTTCTTACTCCAAAGCCATATAGGGTTCATGATTCTTTCTTTCTACACTATACCTGACGATCTTGAGGGTCTCGCAGGTCTCAGTGGTGAACCATTACAGACATACGTCTTTATGGGGCCAATATATTACCAGAAATTGAAACATATGGTGAGATTCCTCTAACCTATTTAAACATAAGAGTGTTTGGTTTATCGGGAAAATAACATTATATCTACTTTTCTGTACTTATGTTTTGAATAGGTCCTGGACAAAATGCATGCACGAGGAAGTGGACCCCGTGTGATGATGACAAGACAGCCAACTGAAGGGAAATCTAAAAATGGAGGTAAGTTGAGATGTGACGATAGTTAGATAGATTAATGATGCTTTACACTAAGACTTCTGGTGTTTTCCATTTAATAGTTAGTTTTCAATTTTTCCTGTTTTGTATCTTCACTCTGGATTTAGCCATGAGTTGTTGTTTTCTCAATTGCATCTCTAATGCTGTCACAGGTTTACGAGTGGGAGAGATGGAACGAGATTGCCTTATTGCTTATGGAGCTAGCATGTTGATCTATGAGCGGCTCATGCTTTCTAGTGATCCTTTTGAAGTTCAGGTAAATATTATTCCAGATTTGTCTGTAAGATAAATATTTGTGATACACTACTAACAAACATTTTAAAATGCAGGTTTGCAGAGCTTGCGGTTTATTGGGATATTACGACTACAAGCTGAAGAAAGCAGTTTGTTCAACATGTAAGAATGGTGATAGCATTGCTACTATGAAGCTCCCTTACGCATGCAAGCTCCTCTTCCAGGTAAAACACTGTTTTCCTTTTGCCTTTTTGATCTCTGGTTTTACCTCTCAAATTGAAACTCTCTACTAAGTCCACATTTGTGAGTGATAAGACAATTTTGAACCTTGGATGCAAAATGCAATTTCTAACTGATTATTAGTAAAAGAAGCCGTGGTGTTTTCAGTTTTACTGGTGTGTGTGGCATTTGATGAGTCTCGCCACTCACTCATAAAGCTATCCTCTTTACAGTTTTCTTCTGGCTTGTTTCGGTTGTCTGAACTCCTTTTCTCTCTTTCTTTCTTGCTTTATACATGGTTACAGGAACTCCAGTCGATGAATGTTGTTCCCCGTCTGAAACTCGTGGAGTCTTGAAGAAGGCTTTTTCTTTTATAATTAGTATTGATGGCTTTTTGATATATTCTATGTCCGTCTCTGAGTATTGATCATATTTAGTTTAAAATAGAAACGATAAAAAAGCGACTCTTACTAAACGACAAAAAGGTGATTTTGACGACTCTAGAGGCGATTCCGATTTTCCGATTCGATTTCCGCTGTCGATGGAGGCAGAGGGGATGGATTCGATTGAGAAACCGGCGGCTCCTCCACCGGAGATTCTGCAGAAGGGGAAATCATGGGTTACAGCAGCAAAGGGGAAACAGTCTTTGACGAAATACGATGTAGATCTGACGATCTCGAATGGGAAGCATATGGTAGAGGTTCCGAGTGATATTGTCGAGAAATCAACTCACCTTTGGGATGATTTTGTGGTGGCGAGGTTCCTGGATACGGCTCCTCATATTGCAAAGGTACATATGATCATTAACAAAATTTGGGCATTTGGGGAGAAATCACAGAAGTTGGATATTTATGAGATGGATGAGAAAACGGTGAGGATTAGGATTGTAAGTGAGAGGATTAGGGATAAGGTGATTCGTCGAGGACTATGGAATATAGCAGGGGTTCCAATGGTGGTTTCCAAATGGTCCCCTGATGTTGAAGATCTAAATGCGAATTTGATCCCACTTTGGGTTCACTTGTTGAATGTTCCAATGAGTATGTATTCGTGGGAAGGTTTAAGCTTCATGACAAGTACTATTGGAACTCCTGATCATCTGCACCCGGAGACGATTGCTTGCTCAGATTTTGCGGTTGCTAAGATTTTTGTTCAAGCAGATCTTTCGAAAGCGTTGCCTGGTAGTATTGACTTCATGATCCAAGGTGAGAAGGTCACGGTTAAGTATACCTACCCATGGCTTCCTCCTAAATGTGTGGCGTGTGGTAGTTAGGGGCATTTTGAAACTTTTTGCAAAGAGAGTAGCAAGAATGGTGAAGAAGAGAGTAGCAATGGTGTAGGGGAGAGCAGCAAGGCTCCGGAAGATGTGGTAAACCAGTTTCATACGAGTGGGAGAAAGGATGAAACTAGTGGAAAGAGTGATGTATGTACTGTGGTAAGTGCTAAAGATGTGATGACTACTGTTAAAGATGGTAAGGGGGATGAGATAAACAGAGTTAATGAGACTGTTATTGAGGATGGGGAAATAAATGAGTGGAGTAAGTCTTCTGAGGGTAGAATGGTGAGGAGTCCTAAGACACATGACCTGAAATATGGCCAAGTGATAATTGCCACACCTTCTAGATTTGATGCTTTGAGAAACACTAACGAGAAAGGAGACGAGTGGGAAGTAGAGCAAGGGGAAGAGACCGAGGAAGTTAGGAGTGAGGAGGAGGTTGACATTATCCGAAGTAAGGTGGAGGAGAGTGTTGAAACTAACAAAAGAGCAAGAGTAAGGCAGATGTTACCGAGACAATCTAAGACGAATCATAGTGTGATCTCTGGAACTTCCGATCATATTAAAGATATGAGAAGGGGTACCAAGAAGAATCACTAATGGTGGGTTTCTTTTGGAATGTGAGGGGCTTCAATAAACCGACTAAACATAATGTGGTGAGAAGCTGGCTGAGAGATCATTCGATTCTATTTGGTTGTCTAATTGAAACAAGGGTTAGGGAGAGTAAGTCAAGAAGGATTGTGAATGAGGTGTTCAAAAATTGGAATTTTATGGCAAACTATGAATTTAATAGATTGGGAAGGCTGTGGGTTGTGTGGAAACCTGATGTTAGAATGTCTCCGGTCTATAAGAGTGCTCAAGTTGTTACTTGCTCGGTCTTATTGCCTGGAGAGGAGGAATTTTTCTGCTCTTTCATCTATGCTTTTAACTCGAGGGAGGAGAGGAAAGAACTTTGGCAGGATTTAAAGAATCACTATGATGCGCCAATGTTCAGAAATAAGAAATGAATGTTGATGGGAGATTTTAACGAGATCCTAGATGGTGAGGAACACTCAGGTTTTGATGAATCTCTAAGAATACCAATGGGTATGAGGGATTTTCAAGATACTGTGAGTTACTGTCACTTGACGGATATGGGGGCTCAGGGTCCGAGATTTACATGGTGCAATAAGAGAAGTGAAGGTTTGGTGTGTAAGAAGTTGGATAGGGTCCTTATTAATGAAGAATGGCTAAACAATGTGGGAGCTTATTGTGTCTTTGAATCGGGGGGCTGTTCTGATCACCTTAGGTGCCGTATCCATTTGAAGAGAGGTGATGGTAAGAAGCGTAAGGCGTTTAAGTTTACAAATGCCATTGCGAAAATGCCTGAATTTGGTTGTTTAATGAGGGAGACTTGGAGGGAGTATGATGCTCTATACATATCGACTTCTGCTATGTATATGCTTACAAAAAGGTTAAAAGCTCTAAAGAAGCCAATTAGAGACTTGAGCAAACTAAAGCTGGGTGAGTTGCCAAGAAGGACTAAGGAAGCTTTTGTTGATCTCTGTGAGAAGCAGAATGCTACAATGGAGAATCCTACAGATGAGAGGATAAGAGTTGAAAATGAAGCGATGACCAAATGGCAATTCTTGGCTGAATTAGAGAAAGATTTTATGAAGCAAAGATCCAAGGTCCATTGGCTTGAGGTGGGGGATGGAAATAACAAATACTTCCACAACTCAGCTAAGATTAGAGAAAACAGAAATGCTATTCATGAAATTGTGCGCATGGATGGTACAGTGGCTAAGATGGAGGAGGAGATTAAAAGTGAAGCTGAGAGGTTTTTTGCTGAGTTTATGACGCTACAGCCAATGGATTATGAGGGTGCTTCGGTTAATGAGCTCAAGGAATTGTTGGGTTTTTGCTGTAGTGAAGCTGATTCTATTATGCTGGAGAAGGATATCACTAGTGAAGAAATTAAGGATGTTTTGTTTCGTATGCCTAGAAATAAATCCCCAGGTCCAGATGGTTTTACATCAGAGTTCTTTAGAGGTGCTTGGGAGTTCATTGGTGAGGATGTTACAAAAGCGATTCAGTCGTTTTTTGTTAAGGGCTTCTTACCAAAGGGTTTAAATTCAACGATTTTAACCCTGGTCCCGAAGAAAGATGTGGTGAAGATGATGAGGGATTACAGACCCATCTCCTGTTGCAATGTACTTTATAAGGTTATCTCTAAAGTCATTGCAAATAGGTTGAAGAGTGTGTTGCCAAAAATCATTTCCTGGAACCAATCTGCATTCATAAAAGAGCGGCTGTTGATGGAGAATGTTTTACTTGCGACAGAGCTTGTTAAAGATTATCACAAGGAGGGGATTTCTTCGAGGTGTGCCATGCAGATTGATATCTCAAAGGCATTTGACTCTGTACAATGGTCTTTCTTGATCAATACCCTTGAAGCTTTGGGTTTGCCAAGTAAATTTGTCAAATGGATCTCTCTCTGTATAACCTCTGCATCATTCTCAGTACAAGTTAATGGGGAGCTTGCAGGATACTTTCAGAGTAAGAGAGGCTTGAGACAAGGTTGTTCTCTATCTCCATACTTATTTGTGATTTGTATGAATGTTCTTTCTAGAATGTTGGATGATGCAGCAACGAAGAGAAAGTTTGGTTACCATCCCCGGTGTGAAAAACTCAACCTCACCCACTTATGCTTTGCTGATGATCTTATGATCTTTGCTGATGGTGAAAGGAGTTCGATTGAATGCATTCTGAAAGTTTTTGAGGATTTTGATAAGATGAGTGGTTTGAAGATTAGTAAAGAAAAGTCAGTGTTATTTATGGCTGGATTGGATCAAAACGGAGATGAGATGCTTCGACAGTTTCAGTTTGCTACTGGGAAACTACCAGTCCGCTATCTTGGCCTTCCCTTATTTACCAAGAATATGACCATCACAGACTTCCTGCCGCTTATTGAGAAGATAAGACGAAGGATTAGTTCCTGGAATGAGAGGTTTCTCTCATACGCTGGTAGACTCCAGTTGATTAATTCAGTCATTAGAAGTATTACTAACTTTTGGATGACTGCATTTCGACTTCCCAGTGGTTGTATCAGTGAAGTTGAAAGAATCTGTTCTGCTTTCCTTTGGTCAGGGCCTGAACTGAATGGTAGACGTGCGAAGATATCATGGGAGGATGTTTGCAAACCGAAACAGGAGGGTGGTCTAGGGCTAAGACCGTTAAAAGAAGTGAACTCGGTTAGCTGTCTCAAGCTTATTTGGAGAATCCTCTCTGCAAACTCACTTTGGGTTAACTGGGTTAAGACTTATCTGATTAGGAAGGGATCTCTTTGGTCAGTAAAGGAAAATAATCAGAGTGGGTCTTGGATGTGGAAGAAAATTTTGAAGAGTAGAGAGATAGCTAAGAAGTTCTATAAAGTGGAGGTAAGGAATGGAACCAGTGCTTCTTTTTGGTTTAAAATGTGGAGTCCTCTTGGGTGTTTGATTGATGTTGCGGGTGTAGGAAGTCATATAGACTTGGGCATCCAGATTAATGCTAGTGTGAAAGAGTGCTTAACGCATCGCAAGAGGCATCACCGAGTCTTGGTCCTTAATAATATTGAAGAAGAAATTGAGAAATTTAAAGATAAGTGGTGTGCAGAGGAGGATATCTCATTGGAGAAATGAGAAGGACAAATACAGGAAAAGTTTCTCCACTAAAAGTACATGGCTCAGTATCAGAAAGAAGCATCATCTTTGCTCCTGGTATCAGGCTGTTTGGTTCAAACACGCTACTCCTAAATATTCCATAATCACTTGGATTACGATGAGGGGGAGACTTGCAACTGGTGATAGAATACAGCACTGGAATGGTAATGCTGTTGTTTCTTGTGCTTTATGTCAAGCCCCTCTGGAAACCATGCATCACCTCTTCTTTGAGTGCTCATATTCATCGCATATTTGGGATGCGTTAACAAGGGGAATTCTTGGAGTTCGTTATACTACAGATTGGAATGAGATTGTTAGTATGCTTGTAGGAAGGAGGGCTAGTTGGAACAGGGTAAAGCTTTTCACAATGAGGTATCTCTTCCAATCCTCGGTTCATTAT